GGACGATATGGTGCCAAGTACCACACCAGTCGCGTCATTCACCAATTGAGGAAATATTAAGCACGTGATATGACATCTTGCCGTTCTCAGAGCCAGTCATAAGCGAAACCTACGCATGTTAGGAACCTGCTCAGTAGGTGCCGCATCGGTCATTTAGCATATACCATTGGCGAAATTTTCAGTAAAGTCAATTATTATGACTAAAATGACACTCATCCGAATAGCTCATGATCGTGCGGGGTCCCATACATCCCGAAATTCCAACTGGGAGGCTGTTTCCATCCTGAATATGATATCAGTGTATTCCATCCAAGCACCGCTCCGAAATGAAATCCAACAGACCTTGTGTTTCAATTTTCAATACTTTGGCGACCATGGCCGCCATCGCGTGAGCATCCGGGATGTTGTCACCTTCAGCAACAAACTGGACTAGTGCAGCTCGGGGCGGGTTAGATCCAGGCGCAGATAGAAGTCGCCGTGCCAGGCCAGCCCCCGGAATTATTGCGTCCTGAGCGTCCACGCCGCCGGCGAATGCTGGTAAATCAACTATGCTACCGAGAGGTGTGGCCGAGATATTTCCCTTGGTTGTATCCTTCGAGAGGGCGTGATAGTAAACCGAGCTAAAGTGAATGCGATAAAGATCTAGCGAATGGCGCCCGACGCTTACTGACCTCATTTGAGCGTCTGTCCTAGTCGAAAGATCAGAACCGACTAGATACAGTACATTTCCAAATGCGCTAGACTGGATCATGTCCATCAGTTTCTGGACAAACTCTTCTTTGTAGTCCTAAACGGATCGGGTCATAGTGAGTACGCACACATATCCGATTTGAGTTGAATGAAAAAAGAACCTTGAGTACGGGCGATCGCTGTTGCAAGACATAAATGTTATCCTTCGGCGAGCCGAACACTGTGCAACTCTAAGGAAAGAACCGGATGTGAAATGTGCAACGATGACGACGGGACTTACATTCCATCGGTACGGTCACCCCAGCATCAACTAGGCCGTCTAGACTGCCTAGCACAGGGACATGATAGGTCGGATCGCAAACTCCAACCCGTTGCAGTTCCAGTGTATGAATCAGCAAGTCTGCTGACAGTTGGGAGACATTCCCAGCAGAGATGACCGGCTAGACAATGGTCCGTTTAATCTGATAAACCCACGTATAATTCAGACTAACCAGGATCAGGACAGAACTGGGGCCTAGGTTGGGCAACCCGGGCCCTTGGTTTGACAACCTGAGAAACGGGCGTGGTCCCTGCATGATGGTGGCCTGGAGACGCAGCAAGAGCTCGGCGCTAATGATATAGTGGCTGTGCATTCTGTGGCCTGTTCTAGACTACGATCACCAGCTCCCGCCGGGTTTACTGCCGAGTTTGTTCAACTAACTGACTATTTCGGTTCGTACTCCCCCCCTGTCGCTCAACCCCACACGTGGTTTTCATTGAGAGACACGTGGGACGCAAAGGCAGAATGCTTGTACTCAGCGATCACTGGGAAGAATTACTGCATGTTGCTTTGGCGCCGGTTGTCATATCTACTCTACCACAACGACCACAACGACAACCAGCTCATTTTCGTCATCGTCTTGGCTATCTATGACCTAGACCGACGTCCTCCAACGTGCGAATCCGGGTCATGTTCCTAGACTAGATCCTTCTACCTTATCTCCTTCTAGTTCTCATGTCCGAGTGCAACACCTAGGCCCTTATGACGCCGCGCTTAAATCTTTTGCTGAACCGAATGTGGCGATCTGCGCTCCAGGGGTTACGACTGGAAGGAGTCAATTATTGCTTGGGGGCACGCGCCTGATGGCGTCGTGGTTTGAGATGAATTACCTTGTTGCCAACTTCCGCCCCACCATTCGCTCCCGATGGGATCATTCTACAACGTTCTGCGACGTTGCTCGCGGTCTAATTCTGACCCGTGCTCTCCAAGACTATGGGTGGGCGACGAACTGGGATCCAGTCGTAGAGGTAGTGCCGGATTAGCGCCTCCGGCAACTGGGAATTGTCATATCAACCAATTAGGAAAATGCTCGCTATCATCACTAGGACCGTTAATGAGAGAAGCGATGTCTGGTGAGGCTGGTCACCTAGCTTAGAGTTGCAGATCCTCCTCCTCGTATCCTCGTAATAATTCTCCTTTGTCCCGTCAGGCTACAATCGACGCATTGGATAGAGATGATATGGCATAATGTCATTCCGCTAGATCGCGCCCATTTCTAGGTTCATGGCGTCCGGCAGAAAGATCGAGTCTGAACTCATCGTCCCACGTATAGACGGCGCACGTATCACTCGTACGAGGGGCATCGGTCCCCTAAACATGGTTCGATGTCATGGGGGCCAGGAGAAGTCGCCCTCGCTCGCGTGGCATAGAAAGGCAATGCCACGAGGTGTGACTCTGCACCAACAAGCATCTCCCCTGTGTCGATTGACCTAAGCGCCAGCTAGGCATCCCTCCCTCCTTAACATAACAGTCCTTGATCGGTACCTCATTCGATATCACTCCGGCGTTTCTTGCAGATTTATTGGCCCCTCGGTCTTTTCTCTTTAGTTCTAACTCCAATCGCTCCTCACCCTCCCTTCCATCTTATAACTTTCCTTCCGTATATAAGAACCCACTTGGGCGAGTGTCGTCACCACCCCACTTTTTTACTATGGCGGCACCTTACATGGATGAAGCGACTGGCGGGATTGTCTATTACGTCCATCCCTCGCACAGCGACGATCCATCTCGCTCTTCTGGCTATGACTCTGACGATTCAGACGCGTCCGACGGTTCCATGACCACCATCGGTTCAGACGAAGCTGGGGGTGAGCAGGATTTATATACATGAGAGACACCTACTAACCACACGACCAGAATACGTCCGCGAAATATTTGGCCGTCGTTTTCACGTTGACGAAAACCTTCCTCTCGCGTACCCCGTAGACAACGAGGAGCTTCTCCGTCACGACTTGCAGCATGCTAGTGTGAAGCTGTTGTTAGGGGGGAACCAGTGGGGTCCCATTTCTGAATGTCTCGCACCCACCGGCGGACGTCGCCGGCGAGTATTGGATATATGCACAAGATCTGGAACCTGGTATGTATGCTTGTGCTTCGATATACGCGTTTGAATCTGAGCATACATGCGCTCAGGGTCAAAGAACTCGCCAATGAACGACCTGATGTGGACTTTGTGAGCGTTGACCTAGCTCCGATGGCACCCCATACCCCGAATACGAACATAGAGTTCGAGGTATACAACATATTGGATGGTATCCGAGCTCCAGACGCCACGTTTGATATGGTACACTGCCGCTTTACGGCTACGACGGTAAGCATCTCACGCTTGTTTTTTTTTCTTTGCCATCATCGATCACTCTAGCCCTCAAATGGGCATATGCTGTTTTCACCTGCTTTGTTGAATCTTCCTTGGGCGGCCATTCGTTCTATCTTTCTTACTCACATTCCATTTTTGTAGTTCCGAGACTATCGAGCCTTTCTTCCAGAAATTCGCCGAGTTCTTCGTAGTGGGGGGCTATTCCTTTTTGAAGAGCAAGAGCTCGAAATATTCGACGCATCCGACCCCCAACTTGTCCGTCCGGCAACCAACGCTCCCGGCCTAACGCGTTTCGTGCGAGCTATTCGACGCGAATTCGAAAACCAGGGTATCTCTGTACGCGCGGCAACACAGATGCCAGCGTGGCTCGATGCTTTGGGCGGGTTTCAACCAGCTATGCGAACTATACGAGTCGCCCCTAACGGGTTGTGGCATCCTAATGCTCTCATGCATGATGTAGGGCTCATGGCTGCCCGAATTTGGAAGGCGACTACTCTGAGCCTCCGGCCGATGCTGCAGACATTTGGGATGCCCCTGCCTGATGCCGAGGCTCTCACGCAAGCCGTTCTTCGGGATCTTAGAGATCCCAACACCCAGACGCTAACAAAATATCATATGATATGGGCTCGCCGGGGCGAATAACCTTTGAGCTCGCCGAGCCGAATTTGGATTGAATCTAGACTTAAAATTGAAGTGGAATCAGTTTCTTTATTCTAATTTTTATTCGAACGGTACTTCGTAATATTTATTTCGTTGGTTGTAGTTGCTTCTCAATTTCGGACTTGTCTCCCCTCGGGCTGTGTTGATTGAATGTCTGGATCAGATTGTATATAGAACTGGCCTGATTTCGTTCTCTATAGCATTCTGTTAATCCGATGGGTTCCAAAGAGGTATCTGAATTGGTCTGTTTGGACTAACTTCGGGTGATGCTGAAGCACATGACGTACTGGCTATTACTTACGTCTCCAACCTTCCGGACGTTCAATCAAAACATTTTGAGATTGGAGCCTGTCTACCAGTGGTTGGGTCTGGCGGGCATACTAGTTCAAGCCTGTTATCATATTTCTGATGCTCCCTACGATTTAGGAATACGGAGATGCAGATCGGTGATTTACGCGCTCCGAGGCGAATGCTTATGAGATGCCTAGTGTGAACCGTCTCCCATAGTGTTGAGTGGTACACAAACGGCCCTGTCTGAGCCGCGAAGAACCAGTGCTGTGATCGAGCCCCTCTCTCTCTCCCGAACCAAGACTTTGGTAGCATGTTTTAATATTAGCGAGCATCCTGTTTGAGACCATGCCTATTTTTGGTCGTTCTGAGAGCTGTAGATGACGCGACCTCTTGTGCGAATAGATAGGGGAAATCGTGCAGCAGCGGAAGCCAACACAACGATACTGATCCGATATTACTATTGGTGGCGTTTCAAGGTCCTGCAAAGATAGCCCTGACTATTGCTCAAACTAACCATTGAAGTCGGGAGAGTGAAGTAGAATGAACACGGCTAAGCCTTCAACGAAAGCGCGGGAATTGTTCGCGATATTGAAAGTCTGTTGTAGAAATGCCGAAGTATAGTGCAAGTGTTGAACGAGCCGTTGATTCAATGGCTCAATCTCGGCAATTGGGCGCTTCTGCGATTTTTAGCAATCGTGGATGCGCTCATTCAAAAGAGTCCAAGCCTGGCTAGCTCAATCGGTAGAGCGTGAGACTTTTACGAAACATTGATTTCGGAGCGGTTATCTCAAGGCTGCGGGTTCGAGCCCCGCGTCGGGCTTTTTTTGATGCCAGTTCTGATTGATCGATCGATCGACAGAACCACCCGTGGACTCCTACCACGATAAAACGCCGTAGAAAAGTCCGCCACTAACTCGAAGTGCGACAGGAGAGTTGGTACTAGCATAGCTCGAGTCCAGCCCTAGAGATTCGAAGGATCATGGCCTTGGGAATGTTTCACTAGCGTTTCTCTTAAACTAGTTTTGGAGTATGACGTGGATGCTATATTCTCGGAAGGGGCGGGGGTATCGCGGCGGATCGTATCGATCAACAATGGCAATGAATGGATTACCGACAAACAAGACAGAACAGAGCTAGCATGAGCGGTCCGCGTAAAACTAGGCCCGCAAATCCCACAACCTTCAGTAGACTGGAAACTTTAACAGCCACAGATTAAAGCGGAAAATAAAACAAAATGAACGCCGCCTCGAACTTATGTGAGTTAGTATGTTAAACTTGGGCAACAGGGCGGACGACATCCGGATAATGCTCGCGGATCATCTAGTATAGCAATGGTAGATCAGGTACGAGTCAGACCGACGAAATAGCATCTACTGACCTCGAACAGCCCTGGCGAACGCTCCGCCAAAACTTGAGGATCTTCACCCAGACCGACAAAGCTACAAGGAGAAACGTTGAGGATAATCTAGATCATACTCGGTCGTCTAGCTTGGACTTACATGGTCGATACCCCTGCCTCGATTGCGGATGCGAGCGTAAGGGCTAGAACGAAGCGTGAGCCTTGGCTACGAGTGAAAACGAGCAGACAGTTACGTACAGCACTGAAGACCAATTACGAATGCAAACAGCAACACAGGGGCAGTATATTGCCCATCAGTGTTATACGCTGGATTTGTTAGGCGCAAATAGAGGTAGGCAAACAAGCTGGACAATAGTCCAACAAGATAAGCGCCCCAGGTCATGGCTAGTAGGATTGGATATGAGAATTGGGCTTGTGAATGCAGTATAGCTCGGACACCACGCACCCATTCCTGTGAGCGAATCGTTGATAAGTGCGTCGATACCACGATCCTTGAACAACCGCCATGTGTCCTTGGCGGCCGGGATATAGGGCTTCCCATACAGCGCTAAATCCAACAACATTAATCGTAGCGTGGCCGCAGCTCTTGACCTACTCACCAATTTCAATATACGCGTAGCGGTTAAAGTACTCGACGAGTGATTCAATGCACCCCACGAAACACGCGGCACAGCATGCAAGAGCAGCTTCGACGGCTAAAGAAAAATTACGGCATTAGCATGTGTAGCCGAAACTAAATATCACCTGCTTACGACTACCACTTTCAGCAGCATTTGCTCTGATCGCGTTCAAGATGATACGCAACAACTCGAGCAGCGTGACGATAAGCGAACCGAACGCGATCGAGCCCAGTGAAAGTGTTGAAGCCCGTGCAAACGCGGAGAGTGCCGGGTTCTTGGGCTAACAAACGACAACCATTCAGTCGAGATCTTCGTCAATAGATAAATTTTCATACCATCATTCCCATGTTGCTTGGCCCAAAATAGTACCACCCTCCGTACGGGCCTCCTGCCATGGTAGCCAGGCAAACGTTACCGACAACCTGGGATGTCCAGAGATAGGAGAACAGCTCGAAGAAGATCAAGCCAGCAACAGTACTCGAGGAGCAGGAAGTACCGTTTCCGCATGCTGTACGAGAAGCATCAGCACGATATCCATGGTATCAACCACGGGCGGAAGAGCATATAATTACGAGCAGCCTCGCCTAACTGGTAGCCGAGTAACTAGGGACAATGGACAATTGAACTTACTGCTGCTATCCGGCGTCCATTTCGCGTATGTAGCGATTGCCGTAAACACGAACCAACTGCGCTCGGAGAATCATTGAGCCAGGATCCTTAAACCCAAGAGCCTCACTTACACGCTCAACATTGCCTGCACGATCAAACCTGAAAACGCGACAATGTAGACGCTCTTGTGGTGCTTCGATACATCTATCACAACCTGCAGGGCAGACAAAGGTGATTAGAACGTAAAGTTTAATAGACTTCAGCAAAGTGAAATAGGAGCCTGATCTCCATCCACCTCGGATTGAGCATGGAGATCTATGCCACGCGTGGGACAGCCCGAGGAATGAGCAACGTGAACCTTACCTGAAGCATGAGGCTTGCCAGTGGAATGCGGCTTCGCATTCCGAAATAGGCCAAGACGCTGAACAATGCGATGATCGTGAAGATGATCGCTCCTGAGTAATATTTGGTTATCCAATAATACACGGCGATAGCTGTGACGAAAACAATCAGTTAGTCGAACATATGGATGGACTTTTTGACTAACCGATATTGGCCAATACACTCAATGCCAGGGTGATTTGTAGGATAACCCTTGTGAAAGTCCGCACCATCATCAGGTAGATAGTTGAGAGAACCAGTGCGCAGGCTGTCACGAACAAAAGAAGGTAGACCGTGTGGCTAATGACAATTTGATGCATGGGCCCAGGATCGTTCAGGAATTGAGTTTTAAGGTTCGAATATGGAGGGCAACAGTTAGTGGGATCGAGGGCCTTGGCGCGGAGAAACTCACGAATTCAAGGTGACGTTTGTACCGCTGTGTCTGCCTCCCCCTACACCCCCACTTGACAGGGATCCATTGGATACCCAGCTGTTTAGCGCGATCCCAGATACTGCGGCATATCCAAGCAGCTATCTCAACAACATTAGCGTTGTTCGGACACGCCCAAATTCACGGTATGGAATCAAGGAGCGAGAATGATATGTCTCACCTGGGCGATAAACAGAATCAAGAAGGGTATATCATGCAGTTTGCTCCTGGGTTTGAATCTCTCCCCGTACTGGTCCGTCTTGGCATTGTAATCGCTAAATCCGACAGGTGGAGGGTTGACCTGGTGGGCGTACGGCTGGGGCGGGGCTGGATACGAGCCTCCTGCGCCTTGCCACTGGTTCGGGCCAGCGTTCCATTGGCCGTTGTTCGGACCGTAGCCCTGTTGGGGCGGCCCCTGCTGGTTCCAAGCCATGCGTAAGATTTACAAAAAGGTTTTCCTAGAGTTCAGAGTTCAAACACAAATGTGGTCGGGAAGAAAAACTGTGATACAAGTAGCGTGAAAACGGGCTGCTGAACTTGAGGACGGGGGGTGACGTCAAATGCCGTTACGGGTATGGCAGACGCAGCAGAGCCAAGAGGGTTAGTACGTTTCCGGATGTTATTAACAGTTATCCGGAGAGTGTTTTGGTGAGGTGCACTCGACGAAGCAGGCGACGAGGGCGAGGAGATGGTTGACCTCGTGGACAGTACCCAATAGATAGGGGATCACTACAAACTGGGTGACGTCACGTGCGTATGCGGAATTGTTTGTATCGGGGAGGTCTGGGCGCGAACAGATTCCCATCAAGGAAACACCTAATCGCGACCCAACAAATCATCCGCATACTACTTGCACGCTCTAACAGCCTCTCAATGCACGCCCAATTAACCAACAGTATTTGGTCGAAACGATAGTCATATCGAATAAATGTAGGATAACTGATATTTTGTTCGGCACGAGTAGAGGGGTTGCCAAGCAACTGACGGCCAGAGTTAAGCTGCAGCTTAAACCATCATCCATATCTGAGTTGTCTATGAATAAATCGATGCAACATCCCATAAATAACTTGTCTGATAATATGGATTTCGATTTTTCTTCAACTCCTGAAATGACTCCCATGCTCGGAATACCAGGGTGCTATTACGATAATAGCATGCCGAGTGTCCCAAACGACAACACAAATGACCTGATTGTTGCCAACTTTGTCGATCAGGGCGGACCACGTGACTGTCTCCGGGCGGCCTTAGCGACCCGGGCATGGGCCGGTTGTTCTCTTGACCGCGTCCACCACCACCGCCAGACCAGCCTTTCTTTCTTTTCCTTTTCTCTTTATTTTTTCTTTGCAGGCTCCTGGTAGAGTCCTTGCACCACTCGTTCGTTGCATTCAAGCCTCGGTCTTGAGCCCACTCGCTTTCTTATCCTACGCACTTGGTTACTTGCGATAGCTGAGCAGTGCTCGCTGTATCTGTCTACCTAGTTCATTACTCGTTCGTTCGTACTCTTTCAAGTCAATATGGGAGTCTTTCTTTGGCACCAGTGGGCTCGCCTTGTCGCTCTGACTGCCGGGATTTGTGAGTCGGCCATATCTCTATACCAAGGCCGTGGGGGCTCACTAAAAGTTTGATAGATGGTGTGTGGGCCGCATTCTGGGGGTTCTTTTACCGCAAGTTCTTCTGGGATTTTATTGGAGGCCAGCTCATGGCGCCTCCCAAGGGAGCAGCAAACCCCTTCTCGGGTGGCATGATGTATGTAACCTATTCCAGTGCCAGCCTAACGACTTACCAATCCCTCTCCTTAACTTCAGCACCGGTCCAAATTCAGCTCCTTTCGTCGCCATCATTGTCAAAATCCCGCTTGTCCAAATCTTCACCTTAATCATGGCCCTCACGCTTGCGCTCCTCGAGGTTCGTATCCGTCCCTTTGCTCACCTGTCATTGCCTCGTGTTTTTATTGTTGCAATTACTTCCAAATTTGGCTGTGGCGTCTGCTGACATTCAATTTTTATTTTTAGTGGCCGCTGCCGGTGATGAAGAAATTACCAATCTATCGGAGCTTTGTCTTTAGGATCGTTTGGCTGCTGTTGCTGGCGTTTATATCGGTGTTGTTCTACCAGGTAAGTAGAGAAGCTTATCATCATGTTGTGAGGGACAGTATACTTATCATTCACCTTTGTAGGGAACAAACGTCGCGATTTACTCGCTTACAGCAGCCATAGGCTACATCCGCGCACAGATGAAAGGAGAAATAATGGAAGAAGCTAGAGAGAACCGGGGCAGGGCGGAAGGGAAAGCCTAGCACCCTGCCTCGTACGAAAGTTTACACGAGTCGGACAGAAACAGCTTTGCCTTGGCTTGAGTGTTTCCTTCTTACCGAGCTTGGATCTATTTTTTCTTCAATTTTACATCCCCAGCTCACCTTT